GGAATTCCTTCAATAGTTATTTCCTTTCACAGACGGATAACTCTTCATATTCAATGTTAAGGTTTAGAAAAAATTAGAAACATTGAATAGAAAAGATAATCCTAGATTATTGCTAAATACAGCCTCTAGTTAGGTAGCTGGCTTATCCTTTTCTTCTATCTTTATATAAATTTTCTTTAATTTTTGCTACTGGTAATGAAACTATATTTTTTAAAAAAAACATGGTAATCTAAGATCACAAGGATTTTTCAGTAAGAAGAGTAATTAGAATAATTTACTTAATGTATGCAACTGAACTTTGCAGTGGTTTGAATTGAGACATGTATTTTCTCCACACACACTACAATAAAAACAAAATGCGCCAGTTGGCACCACAGGCTTAAAAATAACCACAAGAGGCAGTTTTTCAGTCCAGCTGATCTTGAAAGGGTTTTTTTTTCCTGTTGCTGTCTTTTAAATTAATATGGCAAGAATTTGCCCTTCTGTTTACATTTTCAGCCTTCTGATCACATACTACTCACAATTACAATAACACAAGAATGTGTACTTCCTTTTAATTTTTAGTTAATTAGAAAAAAGAAGAGTAGCACATCAGATAAAGAACTATGAAAAAATAATACATTGAAACAATAAGGTAAAACAAAAGGGAAGTGCCAATAAATGTTGTTAATAGTCAAGAAGAGAGTCTTTAAAAGCCACGTTTTATTTGTCTTTTCAGAAAAAATATAGAATTGCAAAATTTTAATTTACATCCTCTGGTCTCCAGTCCCTAATTGGCTGAAGTTTTCTAAATCACTGTTTTAAGTTCGAGCTGAACAGTAAAGAAATAATCAGCTTCTTGTGCAACTGTTTTACAATACTGTACTGATTTCATCAAAAGTCATTATAACTTACTTCACATGAAACTCCATTGTTCATTCCTCATGAAAACAATGGAAGTTAGGCAAGAAATTATTAACTGACAAGTCAGATATATTCTATGCAGACAGTTCCATTTCAGAGAGAAGTCACATTTGCTGGTATAAGTGAAGAATTAGAACTTTTATGTAGCTACTATGTAAACTTCTTAAATCTGAGGAACTACCAATAAAGTATTTGTTTTTAGCAACATGGAAATTTTAGACAAATTTGAAAATTCAAAAGAAGGTAACGCTTGCTTAGAAACAAGAATCCTGTTTGATACAGATTTGGATTTGTAATTGATTTATGATATCAGTAACTTTAAAGGATCAATGAATTTTTTTAAATAAGAACTGTTATATAAAGTAGTAAATACCTTCAAATCTGAAAGCAAATACAATTTAGTAATATATTTGAAGAAAAATCAGCCACTCTATATGAAGACAATAGAAATGCATTCTGAAATACAGACTTCAACAGTGTCCCTAGAAATGGCATACTAACAGTTAGAAAAATGATAAGTTTAAGATTCTTAAGAAAGCAGGAAAGTGGTTAAAAAAAACTTCACATAATGACAGTAATTTTGCAGAAACTGTAAAATATATACATATATTATGTATATATTAAATAGATAGGTGGATGTTCCAATAACAGCAATTTGTTATATTTTCTTCTAATGCTTTTTTATTACCACAATCAAGGATTTAATTTATCTTGGGAAGAGGAAATGCTACTTCATTGAAAGTTCCTTAAGAACAGAAAACAGTTTTCAACAATCTGATATACTTCCTCTGCTGTTAGGTATATCAAATTCAAATTAGAAACTACTGTACAGAATCATCTTCTGCAGGGCCATGAGTTGGTCATCACCCTACATTACTGCAGTGAAAGCCCTTAAATTAAGATCAGATTAATCCTAGAAATAGCTTGGATCAGAATCATTAAATGAAAAACAAAGCTTAAGAATGGAAAACCTTTTATTATATATCTCTAGTTCATGTTTGATCCAAGTTTACCAGAAATTCTGCAAGACCACAAAGTCAGGTAAATTTAACTGCAGCTTATTTTTTATCTGTAAATCTATTCAGGAAATGTGCTAGATTACTTTTGTTGTTTAAACACACTAAAATCTTTTCCCCAAACATTTAATAACTAATTTCCCTTTATAACTCTTTGACAAAGCCAACAGCAGAAAAATAATTTTCAATTATACATACAAAGAATAAATATAGCTCACTATAGAAGTATTTAAAGTCACCTTAAGTACCTAGCCAATATCAGCAAGAGAATTACGAGAATTACATGTTTTCCTCAGTAAATGCCAGCATAATATGCCATATGGGCATACTAATTTTACTGGATTTTTTTTTTTCCTGAAGACATCATATTTGATAAAGTCATTAAAAACCCTGAATAGACAAGATCCGAGTGATGCTTTCCACCCACACATCATACACTGATATTTATACAGTTTATATTTTGCTACACCTGACTTCCAAACTTCTCTGTAAAAGCAGTTTCAGAAAATAATATAAAGAGGATAAAAAACATTTTAATCCATTCTTTCTACAGAAAAATATCTGAATGAAAGCACTGCTTGTACATGTTGCTGTTTAAAAATTCAGGGAAAAAAAAAGAAAAATCCTTAACCTGCTGGTAAAGAGCACTCAATACATAAGTAAAACAAGGCACTAGTACTCCACAGCACTCAAATACATGAGCCAAGACCAAGAGTAAGACCCAGAACTACACCAGCAATAAAGACACCTCATTTTCCACCCTTTTTCTGTTTTCAAATTTCCAGTGTTTGGGCTCACAAAAGTGAACTGCAATTACAATTTGAAATCTATACAGATGCAACTGCACAAGTTCCAACTACCCAGCATGTCTTTCTTACGGCCAGACCTTCCCCATCTACGTCAATACATGACTCTGCCCTACACGCTGTTTTGTCGGTTTTTGGTTTTCTTTGAGCAAGAGAGAGAACATGAAAGCTCAGCAGATTACAATTCATTCCCTGTCTTAGGTAACCCCCCGGTACCAGACACCCTTGTTTCCCATTCTCACGTACAATTCACATGCTTAGATCCAAACATGCCTCAAATCCAAATGTGTCCTGTATTGAGAAGCTGTGGACACAAGCCCATGGTGAAGCAGAAAGTTTCAGACAACATTCAGGGAACCCAGAGAAATGAAGTTCCACAGCTGTACTAGCAAGGTAAAATTGATTTTTAGACTTCCCCTGCTTCCTTAGTAGTCTCAGTAAGAGACTGAAACCACCCCTGGTGGGACCAGGGATGGTTTGACTTTGCTCCTTGCCAAACTCAGTATGTATAATACAGCAGTACTACAGTAAGAAGCAGCAAACCATCACCCGTGGCACAAGAATCACAGGAACCTTCAAAGCTGCCAAGAGAGTTACAGAGCTGCTGATGGTTTGTACATTCACACGTCTGTGACTTGTGAGCGAGACACTTCTGTGAAATACTTTTTAACAGAAGAAACAATTCTGTGGTACAGATGCATTTTTCAATCTGTATCAAGTTGGCTAGTTTCTTTAGAAAGAACAAAATTTTGTTTTCAGAAACATTTTCTGATATAAATACTTAAGATTTGATACATTTTTCAAGATTACAAACTTTTTAAAATGGCAAGAACAATGCAAGTAATTTTACTGACCTTATTTGCCCTCAATCTTAGGTAATTTTAAAATAAAATCCTAGTTAAGAAACAGGTGACTTTGAAATACACAACAAAAAAGAAATTGCGATATATGAAGAAAGGTATAAAGTATACCATCTTTAGCATGAATAACAAAATACATTCAACCAACACCCTGAAAAATCCTGATAATCTAATAAACTCTAATTTCAGGAAACAACATTCCAAAGAGAAAAAAACTTTAACTCAAGAAATCAGCCATCATAATATATCTGACCTTCCTTCAACATTTTTTCTGCCTTGCTTGAATAATCTAGCAAGTGATCTTTATTCAAATCCACAGGTGGTGCAGAATAATTACTCAGATATGCCATGCCTACTAATGAAAGCAGAGAAAGCAGTGCCTGTCATCCTAATAGATGCTCACTACAGCCCACTTTAACACACATGCACAACTTACAACCTTATTATTCTTTTTCATCACCAGGTGAGTGCATATCCCTATTATGACTGGGAATAAAAGCAAAAGGAAAACTCAAGAAACATAGAGTGAAAATTGCTGAACTCCAACAAATTCAATAATTTTCAGTTTGGAAGGATGAACAGAGACATGACAATAGCTTGTCCTTACAAGAATGCAAGTGCTTATTACTAGAACAAAATGATTGCTCCTATAAATACATTATCCGCTCACCATACTATCATTCTACCACAGATAACAATCCAAATTCACATTAGTAATTTCTGCTATTTAATGTCCTGGAGTGCAAATGTATACTTTACCATTACAGATCTCTGCACAAAATTAAGAGATGATAATAACAGCACACAAATAATCCAGGAACATCCCCAAAAAGATTACTGTCTTTCAAAAGAAGTATAAATACAATATGACTAAATTATTTTGTGGATAAAAAATCTTAAGCTTCTTGGAGACCAAGTGGGCCTCTACTATTTTGCTTAAATATCCATCACATCACCTCATTGTGATACAGCCCCTGTGATAAGTAGCCACTGACATAAAAGGCAGTGTCTGTTTAAAAGATCTTTTTTCTAGCCTGCAGTAAAAGCCCTAAATTTCAATCACTGACCCCAAGAGGCTCCTGATTTTATGTTTTTCTGGCTTATTAGAGACTTAAAATAACTGATAAATATAAAACAAAAATTTAGGAACAACAAAGGCTACAATCCTCATAATGTTTCAAATAGAACTAAATCAAAAGTTCCTGTACACATGTTTAGTATAGTCAGACCTACAGAGTCAAAGGCTTTGCTGAAGTCTAGGTAGATTACACCCGCAGCCTTTCCCTCAACCACCAGGCTGAACACCTGTTCACAGAAGGAGATGAGGTTGGTCAGGAGGGACCTGCTTTTCATGAACCCATGCTGGCTGAGTCTGATCCCCCTCATATACTGCATGATTGCAGTCAAGATTATCTGCTTCATAACCTTCCCCAACACTGAGATCAGGCTAACAGACCTATAGCTCCCTGGATCCTCCTTCTAATCTTTATCATAGATGGGCATCACATTAGAAAGTCTCCAGTCATCTGGGACCTCTCCAGTTGACCAGGACTGCTGATAAATGAGAGAAAACAGATTACTCACCACCTTCAGTACCTTTGGGTGAATACCACCCAGCCCCTGTGATTGTCCAGGTAGAGTAGCAGGTCTCTAACTGCTCCTTCTGAATTGTGGGGAATTTATTCTCTTCCCATCTCTGTATTCCACCTCAGGGGGCTAAGTAGCCTTGGAATAACAGGCCTATTAAACAAAGCATACCTTGGTGGTTACATGGCAAGGAAAAATTCCATTCATGCTCAAGCTGTGGTGCAGAGCCTCTGTACCTCAGGGCACAAATACACCATGAGACCATACATGTGGACTCGCACAAAAATGTATTATGTAGACACTGGGACTTGCAGAGCATGGCAGTGCTCCCAGAGACAGGGAAAGAGTTCACCACCTTTTTCTTAACTTGCACTGCGTTAACAAATGGTTTGTATAACATCTGCAGCACATTCAATTCACATTTCTAACTTACTGAAATGATTAAGACAAGAGACCACAAAGTAGTAATAAACCAACACACTCTATTGAATTTATTCTTAATTCTTCTGGATTAGAGTTGTAAAATAAAGTAATTGACACCTAAAAATCTCCTCAGTGAAAAATGTATTTAATCCTGTCTCAATAATAGCCATAAACAAGCATTGGTAATGGTATATCCACTGAGTTCAATATTAATTGCATAAGCAGATCAAGAGCACTGAAAGAAACTAAAAATCTTTCAACTCACTCCTGTCATTTAATCATAGTATAACACATTCCTTAAAATTTTCCTTATTTCCTCCTTTATACTTTCCCCTCATACTTGCAACCTTATTCAGACAGCGTGTTCTGCAGCAAATTATATGATACTGTCCCTATTTGCCATATTTAAAGAGCTTCTACTTGACTTTCTCAAGTTTGCACTTTGAATTGAGCAATATATTCTTCATTTACCTTAGCCTGCATTATGTAACTCTAGAATTATGATTGCTTCTGAGATAAAAAAAAAAGATAATCACAGTTTTGTTCTAAAAGTAAAAATTTCAGACCATGTGACTTACAATCATATATTTTGACTTCTTCCAAATATAATTCTACCAAAGAGTTCCTGCAACAAACCCTCAGCGATTTTTTTTGGACTGATACGAATTGTTGTACGTCAAATTAGCATACTTCCACACTTCCTGTCTACTTCAGGTTGTTGCTTTTCCTTACTGACCTTTCTGCCATTTATCAGCAAACTTGATCCAGAACAGATGCTGCAACGGACATTTGCTACAAGAAGGTATCAGATAACAATGTACCAAGCTAACCAGAGCAAAAGAAATCTCACGTGGCTAACCCATGTCTATAGGACCACCATAGGTACAAGAAATAGGTACAAGAACTGTTGTTATTCAGTTGAAACTGCTGATAGATTCTGAGTAAAAATTAGTAAATACGTCTTTATCTCATATAAGGAATGAAAGACGAATTGGAATTCACAGGTAATTATAGAAAAGTAATTCTTCATCTCACTTCTGTATTTTAATTTCAGAAAAAAAAGATTAACAAGGACAATACCAGCAAAAAGAAAATACATCCAATATGCATAAATCATTTTAGTCTCTATGCTTTGTTATCCTAATCACAATAGGATATGACAAAGAAAATACTCTCAGTAGAACAGTTATGGTCTGGTTTAACTACTATGGCTTACAAAAGAGAAAGGAAATTTGGCATCCAGAAAAAAAAACAAACAGCTGTATCATACAATTATTCTCCCAGTGTGGTGGATAAATCTTCTCCAAGTACTCTTTTGATAAGAACTGTATACATATAAAAACTCTCCAGAGGAAAGGCATAATATTAACAATGTGTACACATACTAATATCAGAGCCTCTATTGTTTCATCATTCAACAAGTAAGAAGTGCTAAGTCCATTCTTAAAATCAAATAGTTATTTTAAAAAACTATATTAATTTTCAAAAGCTCACAGATGAATTGGCCTATGAGAATTTCAGACTACTAGATTTGTGGATTCACTGAAAATCCTAGCTTTCTAATTTAGCAATTAAGTCATTTTTACCCTTGTAATTCAATGCCCTTGAACAAATCAAACATGGTGATGTAAACACTCTAAAATTATATCCCTGGCATCAGATTTTAAGAGGAAATAAGAAGGTGAAATTATGATGAAACTTTTGTTCCTAGCATAAGAAGAATCACGTATATTCTGTCCTAGTTATCGTTCACAATAAGTATAAAATTGTATAAACATATATGCCATACCTGTTATACAGCACTTTCCATAGACTGTATGATATAATTGAATTTTTACTCATTCTGGAGGTCCATACTCAGGTTTGGGTTAAATTTAAATAGACAAGTTTTCCTTTCAACCTTGTAAAGATCACGATGAGAAATACAGGTTAAACCACAAGGAATTACAAGACAATCATGCCAAATTACTTCTATTCAATATATATTCACAACAAACATTTCTTAAAAAAAAAGCCTGGTTACCTACATTGTTTATGTATTCAGAAAGCAGGTCTTGGAGAGCTTGACGGATAGCGTTGCACTCAGCAATGATGCGCTCTCGATGGAAATCACGTGTGCAGGAAGAATCAGCTAGCAAAGCTGCTCCACTGATAATAGCTTCCAAACGTTTCTCAAGCGATGGCCTTATTTTCTCTTCACTCACTACAAGAGGGTCCTGGATAATCAAATGCTGGAAAATATTTTTAAAAAGTAAAGGTAAGAATAGTCAGCCTACTGAAGTTGCCTCTTTGTTTTTCATCTGCATGAACCACAGTGACATCAGTCTTCCTTAACTTCCAATTAGCTCTCTCATCTTGATATATCAAAAATACCTTGGACTATGGCAGATCCCAGTCTCCTTACACTGGCTACAGGCACAGCTCATTTGTAGGCAAAGCCAACTTCTCTCTGCCAACAAGATCTCACTAGTTCTAGTCCAATATCCATGTTAGTCAATTCTGCTTGCCTGGATTCAGTGCTAAACTGGCATCTGAGCTTTCCAGCTTGAGCTGTTTCACACCGAAGTGCCTCATAGAATAAGATCTCATCTACCTGCTTGCCACACTGACATCTTCTGACCAAATTACTTTATCTCCAAGTTGTCTTTGTTTCCTATTTTAACTTCATGAGACTAAGTATTTTTCATCCTTTGCTTCAGTCTCTTCTACACCTGCATCTGTCATTTCTTCTATAAGGCATTTCACTGGAATCAGAAACACTATTTGTTTTCTTTATAAATATGCATGTGCTTTTATCTATGAAGTATCTTACTACTTGGTTTCTCATTCTTGCTGTGCCTAACTCTCTTGCTTATTTCATTATTATAACATCTCAATATTATTAAATTATATAATATTCCTTTATATAATTTTCATTGATTATACACATGGTAAAACTAATTATGTTTTTGTGACAAGTAACTATTCTAAGGAACAAAAAAGGGAGAAGTGACGTTTTCATGCACTGCAAAAGCAAGTATAATGGAGCTTCAGCATTTAAAGAAATTCAAACTACTCATTTTTAATCGAACTGAACATCTGAATTTGTCTTTTCTATCCAGATCATCAAGTCTATATTCCACATAAGTCTGCTTAGCTGGATCCATATTCAATGCCATGAGAAAAAAACATATTAAACAAGAAAACCATGCCATATATCCTAATGTGGAATTCAGGTCAGGTGAAACAGAATTTATCTATGCTGTTAAATATGTGAACTACTTTTAAGCCAGAAAATTTTAATTACTTTTCCAATTTAGATTTCAAGTACTGTCTAGCTTAGGAAGTTCTAAAAGTACTGAGGAAAAAAAAAATGTTGTATTACAACAAAAATATCTAGGAAAGGGAACATCAGTTACCTTTAATTTTGTGGTTTATTACTTTTTAGCTCACTATTACATACTATCTAGAGTTAGGGAGATTTAAGTCTTTTTGTTACAGGTTTAATTCTCCTATCTTTTCCAGAATACACAACAATCACTTTGAAACAGCTGTGAGATTCTCCAGAGAAACCAGAGAAAAATCAGACTTCAATATCTGAGTATTTTCAAATGAAGAATTTTAATACTGACATCAGGCAGCACAGGTAATTTCTGCAATGCTCAAGTTTAACTGGAAGTTTGTTATTTGCCATCCTGCTGGAGCAGTGTAGGTTTTTAAATGGTTCACCTTCACTATTGATCCATAACTCTGAAGTCATCAACCACATTTAAAAGTACTCTTACTATTTAAGTACTCTCAGTACATAAGCCTATTAACATATATAACATGATTGGACACCAAACCTTATTAAGTAACTTGTAAAAGTCCTGGGGATAAAAATTTCAGGCTTCTGTTCTACTTCCTATCAGAAACTGGCACTACATGAACTCTAGTCCTCAAATTTCACAGAGTGACCAGAAGGAAAAAGTAGTTCTGAGAATCTGTCTCCACGTTCACCATGTTGATTTGGGAGTTTTCATACCATATCAGAGCATCTAAAAGAAACAAATAAAAGCAGACTGTGCTACTGCCATTTCAATTTACAATTGTCTCTTCTGAGACAATAAAAAGCCTAAAGCTGTATGAATTTGTGTCACTGAGTTTATGAATTTTTGCATGAAGTGACAGGATATATCATTAAAATAGTTTATAGGTTTATGTCAAGAATTTTTATGCATCCAGTAAAAGCAATCTTAGATTAAGTTATAGCATTTCCAAATTCTGTTGTTTTTTTTTTTTTTAGCTCCATTCATTATCCAGAAAGACAGAGTAAACCAGAAGGGAGCTTGAATGTAAGCAGGAGGGAAGATTTAGTAATTTTAAAAGCCAATTTAATTGCACTTATCCTATTTGTATCCCTTAATTATTTTCTAACTAAAAGCTGTAGAAAACTAAAATATTCTGACTATGGAAACAATCTCACACATAACTTCAGAAACTGGTATTAGGCCATAATTTTGTTTGCCTCTTGCCTTGCTAACAAAGCAAAGGAATAAAGGCAGTCCTCTCTTTTCAGTTTATTGCAGAAGTAAGGAATTTGAGAATTATTCAACTGTTCCAATATTCATAACAAATTTGATTTCTGCCGTCTCCAAAAGAGAAGAAATACTAAAATTTTGTCAGGGCCTGGTAGTCCCTGCCTCTAAGGGGAAAATCCAAAGAAAAGAAAGAGAGAGAAGGAGCACTGCTTGTTCTCCTTATCTGACGCATCTCCATATACCCTGAAGTCTTACTGGCAGTGGATGGAGCCAGACTGGTTTATCCAAGGCCTACAGCTGGACCCGATAAGAGCAGTAATTGAGCTCTTAGTTAAATATGAAGAGTCCTTTGTTCTTTTCTACAATAGCTACTTCCACATAAAGTTGGAAATTTATCCAAAGATGCATTTCCAGAAGTGTGAAGGTAGTAAGACACCAACTGTTCACAAGTATAACATAGAAACACATTAAGAATATTAATACTGAGGTATGTATTTTTTCCATTTTCTTCTCTTTTTTGAACTTCCTTACAGCAAATGATTGTATGGCTGGACACAAAGGAAAGCTTCACTCTATTTATCTAGGGGCAAGCTAAGTTACTTCGTATCTCAAACATTATGCACTGCAGAAAATTATGAAAATGTACTACAGGAAACTGAAAGAAAATGGTAAGAGATGCCTCTGTGGACTCTGAAATGGAGGAGAAAAAATCCTTTGAGCTGTCACCTCTCTAAGAAGGAATGCATAACTTCAAGATCAGAATTCAAATAGTTCTCAGCAATGGGAACTTTGTTTTCCTACATAACGTGTTTAATTAGTGTTTTATGTCGGTCCCCATTACTTCAACTATATCCAGATACACAACAGAACTATAAAGGAAAAAGCTTGCACTTGATCAACTAGTAAAAACTGTATGAAGCTAGACACTGATGTTTAAATATTAACTGGGGTTTTTTGTTATTGTTTCTATTTTTTAAATTAACTTATATCAAAGAGAGAATAGAGAATGTCAAACTACTCTTCCACAGCAAATGATAAGGGAAGGCATTCTCCAAAGTTAGTGAGCTTTCAGAGGTATTTTTTATGTGGAAGAAAGGTTTATTTTGTATTAGAGATTTGAAATACATAGAATCATAGAATCACTCAGGTTGGAAAAGACCTTAAAGATCACGGAGTCCAACCGTGACCTAACCATGCTACCCTAACTCTAACAACCCTCTGCTAAATCATGTCCCTGAGCACAACAGTTTTTAAACACATCCAGGGATGGTGAATCAACCATTCCTACTCCTGCTTTCAGTAAAGAAGTTCCTGATATCCAACCCCAACTTACCCTGGTGCAACTTAAGGCCATTTCCCCCCATCCTATCACCTGTCACCAGTGAGAAGAGACCAATCCCGTTCACACATTCATGTGTGTTTGCCACATTCACATTACAGCCCTGAATGCCAAATTGTTCTGTGGTACCTCACCTCTGCTATTGTCAAATCCTTCTGGCACTACTCGCTGGATCAGCAGCTTCACTGTTAGATCCCTGTATCTCAACTAAGCATTCTCAACCCTACACTACACAGTGTCACCATAACATAAAATGCACTCAACTAGAATATTTGAGTATAACTACAGAAAGAAGTTGCACTTTAAGAAGTAGCTTTATTACAGAAGATTAAGCCATTCCTGATTGCTACAGTCAGTTAACCATTTAGTTAGCAAAACGACTGTTTTCAAATCTCAAATGAAAATTGGAACAGAGGTTCTCCTAGGAGGCAGTTTGCAGAAAACACACAAAGATGAACAAATAATGCCGGCAAAAAGCTTCTACAGTTCAGCTCTGAACTAAATTTAAGAAAGAAGACTACTAGGCAACAGTAACCAGGAAAATACGATTTAAGATTCTGCCCACAGATTTAATTCTCAAAGCAATTTCATCAAAAAATTCTGATCAGTAACCTAAATGGAAAAGGTAATTTGATTTCCAAACAATTGGAGAATGACAGATACGCAAAAAGTAGTTACACTTCTTTGCTTTAACAGGGTTAATGAGTGTTTAGCTACCTGAGATTTTAAACATAAATGAGCACCTAACCAGAATTATTACTTGGCTACTTTACACCTCATTTGCCTTCTGATCCATGGAAGAGTGATCACCAGAATTCAGATACCAGGTTGCATTTTCTGACATTTTGGACTGATGTACAATAGTTTAACATCTCATATATAACTGTCTTGCTACATGGCCAGGGTCATTAAAGAACAACAGGACAAATGAACACACTGAGTCAAGCATAGATGACCCATATCATCTATGTCATCTATCTCATGTGAGAAATCTCTTCACATTTAGAAAATGCAATACTAGTGAAAAACATAGATAATCTGCACCTACATACTCACTACTAAATTTGTTATAGTTTTGTGTTTAATTTCAAATAATATGTTTATTCATATGGAGCCTATAAGGGAAATTCTTGAGAATCTACTGGTTTAAGAAGTTAACTGCTCTCATTCTTACTATTAGCTTCCCAATTCAAAAATCTGTAATTATAATGATACTGCCAGCACTGGCAAAGGAAGAAATGACATTGCAAACCATCTATATACTAGACTGTTGGGTAAGCTCTGTGATACTTTTCTACACTACAAATATTTAACAAGATTTGTTCCCAACAGACTATTTACGACAACGGTTTATTTCATGGCACTCTATTTGCTGCAACAAGAAAGAGCAAAGGTTATTTCAGGCCTTTAGCCAACAGAACTTTCACTAAAGAAAGAAAAGCACAATCATTTAATTCATAAGATCATTTTTAAAAGTGTAAATTATGCTTATTTAACACATACAGCTTAAATTCCAATTTGTGGTATCTAGGTGAAAATAAATTTAAAATTCCATTAACAAAATGGCTTTTTACTACTGAGACTTCTATGTTGCTATGCTTCCAATAAAACAAATTCAATCCAGACGAAAATTTTTCATGGAATCACTATCAAAATTCTTCTATTTTAAAAAGAAAGATTGTCTTTAAAAGTAAAGACAATTTAAAAATCTCATTAAAATGGCACTGCTCACATATGATAAGCTTGAGGTAGGTATATATAAATTATATATAGTTAAATTCATCTGCAGTCAGATGATGCAAGCACTTTGCCAAATTTTATCTTCTTGAGGTTTTTTTCTGGTTTCATTTTCTGTTTGTTGGTTTGTTTGTTTGTCTTTCTTAGGTTAAACAGGGAAAGAGTAGCTCTAATTTAAACTACGTTGTCTTTCAGGGCATCATCATATCACATCACTTAACACACAAGTTATTTTCTTTCATTTTGTAAAAAATAGTTTATAACTTTAAAACCTAGTGTAAACAGCAAGAATGGCTGACATATGATGTGCAATCACATTCCTTTGGGGATGAAAAAAACAGCATTACTGAAAAGTCTGTTTTGATCAATACGCTACTACTACTACAAGATTTATAACATATAGGGATTTCAAACTTTCTTTTACCATTCATTGAATATTTTAAACAAAATCTATTATCATCAGTCACAATATTTATTCTCTTAAAAATGTATCAACATCCAAGGCTGGCATCAGACAAAACTGAGTTTTTACAACAAAAAAAGGCTCACATTTGCAAATAGGTTTAGTAACTTTCATTTCCTGTTTTGTTTTTTTTTTTCCTGTTTTTTGCTTTTGTTTTTTAATTTGGGCTTACATCTGCTATAGCGGATGAGGAACGAGTCCATCACCTCATCTTCAGGAGGTCTTTTACCAGTTTTAGCAAGATAATGGAAAATTACACATGGAAGAATCAGAAAAGTTTGAGGGAAAGGGAAAACTCAATGTGGAAGTCTAGAATTATGTTACGAGTAGAGAAAGAGCAGACATTCTCCAAATATTCGGTTAAATACAGAAGTAAAAACATTAATCTGTTAAAGTATATTTCTCATCTCACTTAATTTAATGTGAATTTAAAAATAAAGACATAGTCAGGTTTCTTAATCTTCAATTACATAAATTACATAATGATCCCATTGACAAGTTTCAGAGTAAACAGCATCACTTTGCATTGCGCTAATTCAAACACAGTCAATGCAGCAGTGATTACAATCATTAGAGAGTCACTGTTATTTATAAACTGAACTTATGAATTCAAGGAATTTCTGTCTCCACCATTACTTACACGCATGGAAGTAATTCTTAAATTCCGTTTGAAGGAAGCAAAATAGTGAAACAAAGACTCAATCGCAAACATTTTTGAACAGTGATTCTTTCCAGTGAAATAATTTAGGGTGATACTATTCAGACTAAGACTAAGGAGAGCATTGGTCTTTCACTCAACAGCAATAGATGAAAACTGAAATAACTGAAATACATTGTAGTGTGAAAAGTTTAAGGGTGCACCTACCTCAAGCTCTTCAAGTGCACTTCCTAGAGTAGCTCTGTAAGATGCAGGTTGTCCCTTTTTATTCCCAACTCCTTGGGAAGCATTAGAAATTACATTGAGGGCATTTTGTATTTCATTACAAATTGAATCCTTGCTGGCTGTAAGGGATGCAACATCTGAATGTTCCAAACAAGCTGAACATATTGAATGAAGAAGAGAAGAATTTTCTTTCAGGGTTGCACGTGCTGCAGCAATTTCATCTCGCTGATCACTAGATTTCAAATCCTGTCAGCAAAAGAACATGACATTTATTACCAAGAGCACTTCAAAACTGACAAGTAATGCATAAATGATGTTGTTTGGGTTTTTTTGTTCATTTTTCTATCTGTTGTCTGTTTAAGGACAATTTATCAAAGATTTGGAAAAAAGACTACATCTATAATTGTACTTATAATGGAATCTTCTTTATCTCACAAGGAATGAACAAGATCTGTGGAAAACAATCACATTTTTTAAATCGTATTTTATAACTAGCACTATGAAATATTCACATTTTGCTTTTCTAAAAAGAATTTTCCTGTGAAAAAAGTGGCCTGGAAATCAGTTTTCTCTCCTCTCCAACATGTCTATTTTAATAAGCAGTAGAGGACAGAGATGTAGATAGGCTTAATAAAGGAGTCTTTGATTGCTACATCTAAACACATTTCTTGTGGTTGCATCCCTGCCCTGCTGCCTGTGTCCCAAGTGCTCTGTAGAAATGAACAGCAGCTAGAGATGAGAATTTTGAACTTCAGGGAAATGGAAAACATGGAAGGTAAGGAAATAAAGAAAAAAGTGTCTATGAAAAGCTACTTCCGTAGAGCGCCACTGCCTGTTTCTCCTCTCTCCCTGCTATGTGCATACTTCAAGCATTCAGGGATCCTACAACATTCATCTTGTTCCTTTTTTCTCCTCCTGGATCTGTTCGAAACCCTACAGCCTTCTGCCATCCCAGACAATAAGGACTAAAAGTGAACCTTGAAACTGAAGGTGAGATTCAACTGTTATTAGGAATCAAGCTGTTGTGTTGTTACTTGGACAGCTGAAAGTTATGGACTTTGCAGCAAATATATAGTCAACACCAGTATTGTAAACAGCCTCCTGTCCCAGCCTGCTTTACTGTACAGACATTTTCCATATGCTCTTTCTGTTGTAAAAAACTAGTAAATATCTGCAAAATGGCCTGCAAGAAGGAAATAAATAAATTCAGTGGAACAGAATTAAAAAAGGAAGGTCAAACAGTACATTAGAATAATAAAAGCCAGCGGTACCAGCTTCAAATTACAAGAAGAAGCACAATGAGAAATGAACAACATGCAAACAGAGCTGATCACAGTTTGCTCTAAAGCAAGTTGGACTTTATTTTCCTTTGCATTGCATGAGGCTTTACACGCATTATTTATGAAAGCATCATAACCTCCACACCTCACTGTATAAAGGTTTGACTTGATAGACAAAGAAAAGTGCATTCAATATTGAATGAACTGGTCCTAGTTTTGAGATTTTATTTTTTTTAAATCTCATTTACTTGAAGAAATGCATTGGATGTAGGGCTGGATCTTACTTTCTCAGTCTTACTTGGAAATCTCAGGGATACAGTAGAGGTGGAAAAAAACAGTGGAGCCCTAAACAGAAGCAGACAACTCTTCCACCAGGAGGTGATCTGAATTAGAAAACTGAGTTATTTCCTTGGGCAGATTAAAATTTAATATTTAAATTTAATATATATTTTAAAAAATTAAAACTAAAAAAAAGAATAAGCCATAATATAAATGAATCTGTGTAGGAATGATTTTTGACCCTTTTGTTGAAATCCAAATACTTGATTATACTCAACTGTATTTATCATGAATTGCAGACTCTTACTCTACATTTCCTAATATTACATGACAAGAAGACAGAGTGCTCCCTTTTTTACTATAATGCAAAGGAGCTACAGATCAGAAGACACACTGGCAAGTCAACATAACATTTTAGTCTCACTGACTTCTATTCCTAAGCACTTATTATTGTGTTCCATCTTACACAGATAATTGAACTCAAAAGTCCTTCCAAAGGACTTTTCCCAATCAAAAAAATACTGCCTAACCTGGAATAAGTAGTAAAATTGATAAGCCAGCAGCAAAAAGCTGGCAATTTTCATAATAAACAAAGCCCCACAAGTCTTCATAATAAACCCAAAGAACAGAGAAAGAAGTAGGTATGACCTAAAGTAAGTTGTCATGCTCACACCTAGTACCCAAAAATACATTAAAGTTTTGTAGACATTCTTAGAATTTCATGAGTCTTATTATCATCATATTCAATTCTATAAAAACATAGTAAAGAAATGCTGTAAAATTCATTATGAACATCCTTTGTAGATTAAAATTATTTTCCTCTTTTTCAGTTTCTGTCTCTTAGGCTTGTAAACAGAGCAGAATGAGAGGAAGGGAGAAGCAGGATTTCAGTGAACTCAGCTGAGAGATTATCAGAGCTTTCAAGAGCATTTTTTGGGTGCTCTGGGGAAGGAAGAAGGACAGGAAATGGAAGATGCACTTTAGGAAATCTCTGACTAGGATGTCTGTCCTTCCAAGGACCTCTTGAAGAAAAGGAGACCTTGCTCTTGGCAGACCTGCACAGCCACCTAATTCCTACCCCAGCTCCAAAGGAAACAGCATTTCCACAGCACTCTGTTCAGAAACCCCTGAGCAATTTCTCTTGCCTCTAGGATTCCATGAAAGGGAAAGACAAGAGATACACTATTTCACTTTGAGACTTAAGAAAGCATGTACCAAATACACCATTGCATCGTACATTTGCCTCTCTTAATGGATTTTTCATTTTTTCCCTTCCTTGACTGTTCCCTCAATTACTCCTTTGCCAGACACCGTGTTCAACTTTGCTGCACTGGTAGCAGAGAAACTTTCAAGTATTAAAGATTAAACAAAGGGAAAATACATATGTATATACACTAGTCATTTGGTTTTAACTGAGGAGATAGAGATAGAGTAACTTTGTGACTGTTGTGGCACAGGAAATAAACTGAGGGAGGTAACAGAGAAGCAAACCAAGCAAAATTTTTATGTTAAAAATAGTAAAACAATTATAAAAACAAGCTAATATCGACTCACATCTTAAATCACTTTCTCATCTTTCAATTTTCTGCAAAGAAATAGGAAAAAAATCTTTGTAGTAGACATTTAAGATTCAAATATAAATTTAAGGGTTGATGTCAAGACAATATTAAGAGACTACAGCACGTATTTTCTGACCATTAGAGTGTATACATAGGGATAAAAACACCCAGGCAAACACTAAAAGCTCCACAAGGTAACTTAGCATATATTACTACCTCCTTGTAACACAATTCACTCAAAGAAAAGTGCAGAAATGCTCAGAACTCAGACAAAAACATCCATTTTACTGTTCACAAAACTGCAATACAAAAATACGTGTAATGGTTTCTACTTGCCTTGTGCCCTTTAAGGTAGTTTTAGTGGTCAACTTGACCCCAAATCCATTACTATCCACAAATCCTCACACAAATCCTTAAATAAGTAGTTTAAGAATTGAACAGATGCAAATGGAAGTGAAATAGTTATGGATCTTAAAGGCTCATGCGAAAAAAGAGAGCTAACATAAGAAAGCTTTTCTCACAGATTTGAGCATTAGCCAGAAAATTACTACCATTTAATTAATAATTAGACAAAGATGGGAACAATGCCTTGTGTGGTTAGAGAGACAGTGAGAGCCTCGCCTAAAAGACATCCACAGCTCCAAAGCAGAAATGAGAAGCTCCTGTGTTTGCCAAGAGGAAAGGCCAGAATCTCTCCCAATTACGTTAATAAAAGTACAGAGATAGAGATAACTTCCTCACATAAGAAAGTGATCACAAATACAAATCAGGACTATAAACATAGATCTGTATGCATGTATTAATATATAAGTACACACATACACAGGATCCATTGTGAAGGGAACATTGTAGAAGCTCTAGAATAACCACTGCCACTTCTAGAAAACCAACGTAAGATTAACTTCCATAGTAACGTGGGATTAATCAGGCTCTTTGTAGGCATTGGAGGAGTGCTGTCAGATTCCCCTCAAATTTTTTGTTCAAACCAAACAAGACCAGATCTCTCATGCTCTCTTCACAAGACATGGCACTAATCTCAGCCATCCTGAGCTAAGCAGATACACATTCATTTCTTTCAGAGTTTCTAAGCCTGTGTTTTTACAACTGCTAATAAAGCACATTATCAGTTTGGGATTTGGTAGTCAAACACTTGGTAAAAACTTGCTGCACCTTAATGAGATTTGATTTTCAAGAAAGCTGCCAATCAGCAAGGCCCTCTACGTGAGCACAGTGCCATACAGAGTATTGCCATTGCCAAATTACACATTAAGATGAATAAAAACAAGCACTTATTTTCAAATTTATTCTTCAACTGTCCATTTTAAATATTCTGCATGTTACTGATTTTAAAACATAGTGGGTTTTATTTCACACACCATTGTATCAAGTTTTAGAATTGTGGTATAGAATCATTGGTAATGTAGGGCGTTACTTCTACTCAGTAACACAACCACAGCAAGTTAACCACTGAGAAGGAATGCCCATAAATTCAGAGCAGCAGTGAATCAAAAGGAACTTACATTTGTGCATTCTCGATGACTTAATAACTTTTGCTAGTTAAGCTTACTTCAAATCATGATTTTAAGGACTAAGAATTTAATATAGTCTGCTTCTACAAAGACTGTTCTGTCTTCAAAAAACCCTGATTTACAGGACTCAGTTCCCACAAGAAGTGATGCCTTGCAACTTTATATCTACACCTATTTACTATCAATCATACACAAACTGATACACATTACCACAAAAACATAGCAAAAACACACTAAGTATCAAAACTTGATCATGTCTGATTAACATCCCAGGGTGGTTTGTTTAACTTTTGTTTTTGTTTGCTACTGTTTTTTTTTTTTTTTTTTTTTCCAGAATTTGCTGTTCAGTTAAGGAGGTATAGTTTATTTAGATGACTTCCTTCTGTCAGACTGCAGCTGCTGCACACCACTGTCTCATATCCTTCATCAACTTTTTCTAGCCCGATTACACATTACAGAGCAACACCTTGCTGTCATTTCCCTATCCCATTATTTCAGAATGCATCTAACAACCTGCTCTCTTAACTGTCTCCTAGATGAAGTTGTTGCCTTTGAAAGGTTGCAAAGAAATTTTTCCCTCTTAGAATTAATGTAAT